ACAGACCTTTTGCAACACATTTCTCTTGAGCTTAGGAACTTATAGAGCCACACTTGAGAGATGCCTGCCTTGATGAGCCACTGCGACAGAGAGAGAGGGTGCCTTGCTGTGCCCTGACTGCTGAGCTGCAGGTGGATGAAACTCAAGCCTTCCACATGGAAATAGACAAAAAGGTTTTTAGGTCTGGCATAATTCGGGACAGAACAAACAATGCGTCTTTTGATGATGTTGATCATTTCATGTGCTTACTGATGAGTAAAGAAAACACTAACATAATGGACTGCACGCTACGCTACGCTATAGGAATATGTTGTGAGCTGTTGTTCAAGCTTGGACAAGCTTTATTTCACTAAGAGTTTAAACACTGATATAACATTAGTGTTCATGTGTTCCTCAGATGCTCATTACATTTAGATTACCAAGTATGACCAAGAGTCATTCAATGGAATCCCGATGTCTATTCGCTGCTAGCTATTTCAAAGAGGGTAAAGAATCATTTGACTAAAGGTTTGTGGTTCCCGATTAAGCAAATCATTTAATAAAACATTATTTGGCCAAATAATGTTTTTTATATAAAAATAAATTCCCAGCTGGCTGGGGATTGAACAGAACATAAAATCACGACATTATGGATGCATACACTGGTACTAATACAAAGGGCATTATTGGCAAGCTTTATCAAAATTCCACAACTATGAATAAGAGGTCGACAGATTATATCAGATAACGGTTGGAAAAGGAGGCCAACATTACAATCTCAGAGGAAGTTTGGTCGCAACTGTGGGAAAAAAAACACATTTACAAACACTAACTCAACAGAAAGGCGGGATTTTGGCTGAAAGAACCTTATCAGTTTTTTTTTATAAAGCCAAAGCAGAAATGTAGGTTAAGTGGTGCACAGGTGCCCTGCTGGAGAAGGTTTGGGAAGGTTTCTGCACATTATGAGCATATTTACTGTCCTAAATTAAAGGTCTTTTGGAACAATGTTAAGCAGATCATCTCTGAAACCCTGGACACAGTGTTGGACTTTTCTTTCACCTCATGGAACTTTGGAAAACAGTTCGAGTGACACATGTTTACTAAAGATTTTCTTCATTGCAAGCAGGGAATTTAGGAAATATGGGGTCCCAGGCAAAGGCAGGCAGTGGGCCCTCTGAATTGAGAAGACAACACATAAAACAGACCAATTCTAAAGATAGAGAAATGTTAATAGAATA